AAAACAAAAAACATCAGAGTTACTGGAGAGAAGTAGGGTGAATCAGAAATACAGGGACAAAAATTTTATGGCAGAAATCTGGATTTTCCCTTACAGGGTAGCAGACAGAGCTGTGAGTCTGTCCATCAGCACATTCCCCCTTTCCTCTCTTTTAAAAGGCCTCCTGGTGGGTTCAGGCCTCTGCCTTCCTCTGTGAAGCTGTGAACTTCTGGAAAGAAGGAGCCCCATCTTCAACCCCAGAACTTTATTTATGGTTGATCCGAGTCAATAGTGGTCCTGTTCTTCTTGATAGAAATTGGTTTGGGCATGGGCAATAAGATGTGAGAGCAGGCCTTATCCCAGGGAGGGGTTCCCATGAAAGGTGGATTCATGTGCGAATAGATGAACTCTCTTTTCTGTTGGATGTTGTGGTGTCTGGGTGTCTTGGTCTTTTGGGCTTCTATAGCAAAGTACCATAAACTAAGTAGCTTATAAACAACAGAAATTTATTTCTTACAGTTCTGGAATCTAGGAAGTCCACGATCAAGGCACTGGCAGATTCAATGTCTGGTGAGAGCCAGCTTCCCAGTTAATAGATGGTGCTTCTCACTGTGTCCTCACATGGTGGAAGGGGAAAGACAGGCCTCTGGAACCTCTTTTTTAAAGGCACTAATCCCAATCATGAAGCCTCCACCCTCATAACCGAATCACTTCCCAAAGGCCCTACCTTTTAATATTATCACATTAGTGGTTAGGTTTCAACACAGAAATTTGGGGGAACACGAACACTCAGACCATAGCAATGGGTAAGATTATGGTAGTCACGTTTCACCAGTAGGTTAGCTAACCCAAGGACCATGGGTTAGACATGAGGGTGCTAGAGCAGGAAGACAGAAAGAACCAAGGCCTTGTTGACGTCAGTGAACTCTGAATTCACCAGCCTCAGAATTGTCCTACCCATAGACTTTTGTTATGGAAGATAATGTTTTCTTAATTGCTCAAGCCAGTTGAGATACATTCTGTTACTTGCAGCCTGAACCATCCAAACCAGTTCAACTACAAAATCAAACGCTTGCTACCAGAGGAGAGAAAGAAGTAGTGCCATGGTATCTTTAGGCGTATTCCTAGAGGGGCGGCCCCAGATCTACAGGTCTGTGGGTCTGTTTCTGAGAGTGAGGATGGGCTGTGGCCCTGCAGGGTTGCTGCTGAAGCTGGTTTCTCATGTTGTGTTGGAAAAGGCCATTCTGGGAGCTGGGTCACAAGCTCCTGGAGAAGCAGAGTTCCCCAGCCCTTTAAACGGAGAAGCTCCCATAACAACCAAACAAGCAGGATTCCAAGGGGGAAGATAACAATGATCTTGGAGCTTCTCCCTACTCAGATTAGATGCATGAAGGTAATAAAAACCACCCAAAAGAAACTGCAGAAAGAGGCCTTGGGAAGCGCATTCAAGAGGGTGAAAAGGAAGAACAGAAGGAACCCGTGGAAAGAAAATCTTCCAGACCAAATGACGGTCCAAAAATAATGAGACCAAAGTTCAAAAAAGTAATTTAAACCAAATAAGGCAGGGAAGGCCTAGCCAGCAAGGGGCGGGCTCACTCTGCAGGGAGCAGGCGAGCAGAGGGGATGGAGTTGAGCAGAGTTCACTTCAGGACAGCCCATGGGTCAGAAGGAACTGAGGAATGCACCCGCTGCCCAGGTTAGCAAGGGGGGCAGGACCAGATGGCATGGCTTCTTACCTCCCCTGCCCAAGGGGCCTGGAGCATTGCTGCCACCCTCACTGGTGACAGGGCTGCTTGAAGTTGCAGAGCACATCCCATCTGGGTGGGCTTGCCGCCACTGCAACAGAGAGCCTGTGGGACCAGGCAAATGAAGGAAGCCTTGCTTGCTCATAGCCAAGCTTCTTTTCAGGTTCTCTTTTATATTTTATTGCAACCAAGAATTCCAGGGCCATACTGCGAGCCAGGGATGATGGATGCTAAGCTCATTAACCGCCTGCTCAGTTTGTGGACTTGTTCCTGCTGAATCTGTAGTCCAGGTACTGCCAGTTTCTTAGTGTCAGAGCCCTCGTAGAGTTCATTTGTGCATTCTGCATGTGGATATGTGTGTGCATTGACCCAGAGTTTTAAAAAGCTTTCTATTTACCTTTTCTATTTACCACATACCCTCTTCCACACTTAAAACTCCACACCTTCTACCACAGCTTTTAGAGTGAGAGCACTGGGTTACAATACATGTTTTCACAGGAATTGAGCATTTAAAGAGGTACTAAAGTGAACATGATGAATTTAAATTCTAGGTAAACAGCTCTCAAAAGCTCTCTCTTCTTTGTGCTTTCCTCGATGATGATATCTGATATTTATTCTGATGACAGAGGACAAACTGAACGGTGTATCACAGTCATCAGTTGATTCACTCTGCACCACTGGTCCCCAGTGGCATTTGGGGGCAATGTGGTATCTTTTTCTTAACTCAGGGCCCTCTTAGTACCTCCTTGTCCCTCTCTGGAGCACCTATGAATCCTTAGGTCCACTGTTCACCCCAGGCAGGCCATGGAGTGCAAGCAGTGCTGCTGGAGGCTTGCCTAGCTGGTCACTTTCCTGCTCCGCTGCTAAACTTTCCGCCCTCACTCAGGCCATGCTGAATATGACTCTGTGTGGGGCTCCTCCAAGATGCTCCCTGTCTCCCTAAAGATGTGTTTAGCAAACAGTGTCACTGGTCAACTCCTCCAAATATTCTCAGGTTCCTTCCATATCTAGCTGGAAAATGTTCACTATGCCTCCTTCTAATCTTGGGGTTCACCTTAGGAGTGGGGAGATTAGGACATGTAAGTCACATCTCTCTGCTGTATTTCGGTCTTTCTCTCCTGCTCACAGCCCCCTTGGGATACACAGATAGGTTCCCTTTCCACTCTGGTCTTCAGAGTAGGGTGTGTGTACAACATTCCTTTATTTTCTTCCCACCTGCCACGTGATTTGCCCGTCCCTATTTCCTGAGACATGAGGGCAAATAGGGTGCAATGAATGAGAACTTGTTTTCACAGATAAGTGAACATGACTTTTGAAGTGGTTAGAATAACACAGCAATCACATTAGCATACATAGACCCTTGAGGCTGACTGGGAGCCCTGTACAAAAAATAAAAATAAAAAAATAAGAAAGGCTGCTTTCTGGCTGAGAAGGGAAGGGAAGAGTAAGGATTTTCAATAGCATGGGGACACAACTCCACAGGTTCTGCAAGTTTTTCTCTCTGGAAAAGAGGACTCTTGACTTTTCCTGCTTTCTTTTAATTTCAAAACAGCACACACACTTTAGGAGCAATAGCACCATGGATGAGTTTCTTGCCATCACATGAGCAGGATGGCATAATCAAGACGCCCCCAGGAAAGATCCTCCTATTTTTTTCTAATTCAGAAAAAAACAGAAGAATAATATGATACACATATCCCCTGCTCATATTAAAAATGTTCACTTTTTGTCACTTAGGCTTCGGATAGTATATCTCACAGTGAAAATTGAAAACCATTTTGTTCCTCCTCTCCATCCTAGTCTTGCTTCTTTCTCTCCAGCGATGACCACTGTCAATAATTTGATATATAGTATTCCAGGCCATGTTTTTATTAGCTTATTATAGATTTTATGTATTGGACAATAGATGGTATTGCTTTGTAGTTTTAAAATTTTGGCTGAATAATACACTGTATGAATTGTTTTGCAATTTGTTTTCAGTAAACAATATGTTTTTGAACTATATGTTTTCATGCTTATAGATACAGTCCCTTTTTTTTTTTTTTTTTTTTGAGGTGGAGCCTTGCTCTGTCACCCAGGCTGGAGTGCAGTGGCGTGATCTCGGCTCACTTCAACCTCTGCCTCCCGGGTTCAAGCGATTCTCCTCCCTCAACCTCCTGAGTAGCTGGGACTACAGGCACACATCACCATGCCAGGCTAATTTTTGTATTTTTAGTAGAGACAGGATTTCACCATGTTGGCAAGGCTAGTCTTGAACTTCTGGCCTCAGGTGATCCTCCCGCCTTGGCGTCCCAGAGTGCTGGGATTACAGGCATAAGCCACTAAACCTGGCCAGTCCCTTCATTTTAAACTGCATTCAAGTACTTAATTTGTGAATACAAATATCTATTAATTAATGTCTGTTAATTCCTCACTTAAAAATAGTCATCGTTTTTCAATATTTTCTCCCAGTGTTTTATTTTTAATAAGAGGAACAATTGGCTCCACCTAATACTTCAATTTCAGCCCAAACTTGGCCAGAAGACATCATTGCCTTAGAGCAGCCTGTTTTCCAGTCGACACTGAACTGCTGTTGACGGGTAGATAGTTGAGAGTCCACATATGCCCCCAAATAGTTGCAGACTGCGTGCTGGGCCTGATTCTGTTCCCTTGTCTGGAAAATGGGATCATAACTGTTTCTGTCTCCTTGGGCCGTATGAGGGATTGGTGTTGTGGAGCATGTACCACAGTGTCAAGCAGACAGTAAGTCCCCTGTTCATGCACATACAGTATTTTATGCCTGGTATAGACCTAGACCCCAGCACCTGACTCCCTGGCCAATTGTTTTTCAAAGACACTCCCTGCCTCTGTTACCACTGTTTGTAAGACCACGTCTCTAAGAGTTAATCATCTGGAAGACAGAAATCCAACCACAAGAGGCAGAGGCAGTAGGCTGTAGAGTTAAGTGGCAGGCTCACAACCCCAAGTGCTGTCAGTACTCACAGCTTCTGCTTACCAGCAGCTGTCTGTACTCTGGATTGTTTTGAGCCTATCTTTGCAGGGCTTGCTGGGGCCTGCCAAGTTCAGCTGCCTGCAGAAGCACAGCTCAGAGCCGTCGCTATAGGCCTATTCCTTGTACAGGTCCGGCCAATCAGAGCTCTGTTACCAGGCAGAGCCTCTCTCCGGCTCTGGTCACTGTCATCCTAGCTGTCCAGACACCCTTTTGCAATTTTTGTTTGAATTGATTTTTTTAAAAGCACCTGATATATACTTTTCTTCTTATTCTTCTCCTTCTAGTCCTCTATTCAAGGCCCACCACAGAGACACAGGAATGGAACTCAGAATCACAAACAAAGAAACCTCGGTCCAAGAAAGAAAATGATCTTTAAAAAGACCCTCGTTTCATGCTTGCCGATGCTGAGACAATCGGCTCTGGAGGATATTTGGAGACACCGATTAAAAGGTAGTACCATCACCACATATTTAACTTCCACCTCTTTTCCCTCTGCTTCTAGGAGTAGAGAAACCAACAAAACCAACAGGAGAGAGATGGTAAATTTCAAATAATCTGTCCCTCACCCCACCACTATTCCCACATTTCACAAGGGCCCAGCCACAAAGCCAGTGCAACATGACACCAATCATCAGCAGAGTGGAGCTGACAGACCCTGCCTTTCACCTCTTACGGCATATTTGCTCATCTTCTCTCTTCCCCACCCCTCTCTGATAAGAGAAAGGACGAAAGCAAGGCAAGCGCATTCCTGAGCGGGAGCTGCAAGCGCCCAGGCTCATGACTTCTGCGGAGCACACTGGAAGGGGAGAAAAGGAGGAAGGAAGATTGAGGGACCAAGATGGCAGGATAAAATGCTGTGGATGGAAGGGCAAGTTCTCCTGGAGTAGGAAGTATGAGAGGTCAGAGGGTTTGGGATGCCAAAGAACAAGATTGAAAGTTTAATAAGCAACCTTGACCTATCCTATGGCACATCCTAATATGTTAGGAGAGATGTGAGTACAGATTGGAATACCTGTGTACCCATGCTGTTTTGAATTCAGTGATGGTTTGGTGCTGAAACATGCCCCATAGCTTTCTAAGCGTTACACTTACTTATACTCCATTTTTAAAGCAGTTTTATAAGAACATATGTAAGTAGATCAGTACCATTAAAATGGGGTTAATTTTTTTTCCAAGTCACAATGGTGTAGGGCAGGTTGTGGTGGGAGGACTAATTGTCCAGAAATCTGGCTAAAGCTAATTATTAAACTGTTATTGCTAAAAGAAAGGGGGAATTAGGCAGAAAGCCAGTCTACCTTGCTTCAAATGGATTTTCTCTAGAGATCTGATCCTCTCAGTCTCTTCCTTAACCTCTCCTTCTCTTCCCCCTTTCTAGATTATTGTCCCAGTGGAAAGGGATTCTTAGTGTTATATAGATAGCAAGCACGATGCAAAAGTGTTGAAGCAAGAGTGTAAAGAATAATTAAAACATCTGGTGGGTTCTAATTTTATTTTTGAAGAACATAGCTTTAAAACAGGTGTAAAATACAAGCCATGGCCCTAAAAGCCAGGGTCTAAAATATATGAGTTAAAAAATATCATGATTCCCATCTTAAAGTTTTGCAGCTTCTCCCCCTACCCCAAACAAAAATACTCATTTTAGGAATGAATATTTCATGTGTGAAAGTGACATTTTTTATATTAGGAATTTTTAAAAGTTTATAATAATCTTTTTCTTAGTCTAAATTCAGACAAACTTAATACTTTTGATTTTAAAAAGTACACAGCAGTAAGATCTCATTGTTATAAAATTATGCCTATCAGTATACATTGAGAGATCACAGGAATCATTCTTACATAAAAGTAACAAGGGTGGTCTTAATAATGGAATACTGGAGTGATTTTTTAAACTTTTTTGTACTTTTCAGTTTGAATAATTTTAAAAACAAAACTATATATTGTTTTCCAGAGATAGAACGTAAATTTTTTTAAAAGGAAAAAAAATTAGGCAATCAGTCGCTTGAGAAGTAATTGAATATGCCAATTATTAGGTTGGTGCAAAAGTAATGGTGTTTTTTGCCATTAAAAGGAATGACAAAAATCACAAAGTACTTTTGCACCAACCTTACACTTTTTCCTGTAAGTTTCATGAGGTTTCCCCTGTGTGTGTGTGTGTGTGTGTGTGTGTGAGAGAGAGAGAGAGAGAGAGAGTGATAGGGAGAGAGAGAGAAAGAGAGTAGCAGTGCCTCACTGCATCTGTTCCCAGGAGACATTTTGTGATATCTGAGTTCCAAGGAATGAGGATCAGACAAAAGGGGCAAAAGTAGTAGGAGGAAAAATGGAGATCAGCAAAACTGGCCATGACTCAGCAAAAACACAGTGACATTTTCAGAAACCCAAAGCCTCAAACATTACAAAGTCTCCTATACCCCTTGCTTCTGAATAGAGTTGTCCTGGCCCTCCCCATTTCAGGTGGGCTCCAGCCTAGGCTGGGTAAGCATTGAGAGTGAGGAGGCAGGTGGGTGGATTGTCCCTCAAGGTGTAAGGAGGGGACAAATACCCTGTCTGTGGCTGATTGAACTGGGGAGGACCCGAGGCCGGAAGGTATTCTTAATAGCCAGTATTTCTCAGAAATGCAGCGGAAGTCTCCCAGACAAAGCAGACAGGTTGGCATCCCTTTCTTGAGAGTTAGTAAGAGGGAAAGGAGTGAGGCAGGCCTAGCCAACATACCAGGGACAGTGGTGAAATTTTGAGAATCTGGAGGGTCTGCCAGCTGTGCTTCCCACAGCAGCTTTCAGTGCCTGCCCCTGAAAAGCTGGCATACACCTGGCTGCCAGACCATAAAGGGACATACCTCGAGTGAAGGACCGACTGCCCCTAAATTCACTGCCTCGTGCCAGCTCCTAAGTTACTGTAGGGATCTGTGCGGGTCTGGCCCCTCTGCATGGGTCCTGGGACCCTTCAGAAATCTATTCTTGTGCTTGGCATTCCGTCTTATCTTCTCCCTGCTCTGCTGTTAGGTGATGGGTGAACCTATCAACACCCTATCTCATGTCACCAAGTGCTCAGATTCAAAACTGAAATCCAGTTCCTACTAGATCACTAGCCCTCCTCTTTTACTTCCATTTCTCATAACCTACAAAGAAAAGAAGAAATAGCACATACGAACAAAAGATCGATAAAAAACAGAGGAGAGATTTCCTGGCGTTGGGCTGGGGGTACAGCAGGAAATTGTAGCCACACAAATGACGCTCCATGGACAGAGAGTTATGCATCATGACCCTTGGGTTGAGCAACCCTAATGCAATACCAGGGTGTTAAAGGGCTGGGACTCTCTTGCCCTCTGGTAGGTCAGTTCTTAGCTGTAATATAATTTTACAGATGAAAAATTCCAGAGAGCAGTGACTTGCTCTGTGTTACACAGCGAGGCATAAGTATAATGTACGGCAGCAACATAGGCCTAGTCCTAATTATTTGACATCCTAACACCTTTCCTTTGTTGTCTGAAGTAGCTTAGCTGAGATGAATGTCCAGTATGTTATTACAGTGGGAAGCCAGGCCAGCAGACTTCATTGTCCTCAGTTCTGTCTCAGTTACACTAAGCTTTCCTACCCCATTACCTGAGTTTTGAGATGTAAAGTGGAAAGACACATTTGGTTGACATTGTACCCAAGACAGAAGGTAGAAATTCGTCATGCTTATGCCTCCCAGGTTTCAGCGTGCCTGATCCGTTTTCTCTCAGCCCAGGCTCATCTTCAGGGCCACTTTGTCTTTCTTTCTTCTACACCAAGTATCAACCCAGCCCCTTTGTATATCTCAACAATGATTTAGTGGACACTCTGGCTTACTGATTTTGTTCCATTACAAAATGAGTTTCCTGCCAGGATAGAGGGAGAGATTATATAGACAGACATACATTTATAAAAACAAAAGGAATGTGGAAGGGTGATGTGGGGGCACTTTCAAGATGGCAGGACCTTCCTCCAGGCCATGGCAGCTTCTGCCCACAGCCCAGAGAGGCCACTCATATGCTGTGAAAATAAAGGCATTACCTCATCTCCTTGTCACCACCTGAGTGATCCATGAATGGGTGTTCTCTCCTCACTACAGGTGAACTTGGTCAGGACAAGAAGCTCCAAAGGCTTACTCGATTTCTTTGTTGGTGCTACCCTACTTTACTCTATTATATAAAGCTGTTTAGCCAGGCCCTTGCTTCATACATTCCATGTCACTGAACAAGAACTCAAATTCTGGTTAGCCGCCACCCCTCCCAAGTCAGTTTTACTTGATGTGCAGTTATGTGCTGAAATATACTGTGTCCTGTAGAAATGAGCAATGTGAGGGAAGGAGATGCAGAAGGAATCGAGTTGCACACTTTGGATCAGATTTGTGCGAGTTAATATGGAGGAACTGACTTGCCCCAAACTAGATGAAGAAATCCTCCTCTAAAACTCAGCCAAGAGCCTGTTTATAGAGGGCTTCATTGTTTATAGTTTCCATGTCAGTGCTTCTCAAATGCTCACTACTCTCTTGTTTTGGCCTTACTAAACTGAGGTGAGCTATGTGGTTCTTGCCCCCGATTTATCAATGTGAAAAGAGAGTCTTTAGGGATTTGACCATAGACAAGTCCCCAGGGGAGTGAGGGGTGGAGGTAAAGTAAGCATCCTGCTTTTCCAGCCTCTTCCCTCTTGACTCCACTGCCTTAAAGCGAGGTGTCTCTAGAAACCACGGTCACCTCCTCTTTGTGAGGCAAACATGAATCTCTCTTGGCCTATTACTCCCAAGGAAAGCAGAATATGAAAAGACATGTCTTTTGCCTTGCCAGATGGCTTCAGGGTAAAATTCTTCCCCACACTAAGTGTTAGAGTCCAGTCAACTGTTTCAGGGAGGGCAAGAAGTAACATGGAGAAGTATTTAATCCTCTTTCTTCCCTGAAATTCCATGACATCCAAGCTTGTTGTGAGCAGGCCCTGCCAAGGCAGACAAGATCATTGAGCTGAAATCAAGAGAATGGGTCCTTGGCAGAGCAGACCCTTTTAAGGATGAAGATTGGATGCTGGGGAAATCCTACCAGCCCTTGGCAGTCTGAAGGTTTGAGGTTCCAGACTGGGCTCTCTCATTTTCCATACCTCCCGAGGAGCTGGCTGCATAAGTCATGAAATAAGCTGAAGAATCTTGAGCACCATCTAACCCATCTGGGCACCCACAGTGGAAAATTATGGGAGTAATATGTTGGGATAGCCCTGGGCTTCTTAAGACCAATGCATATTTTTATGCTTTTCTACATACTTTGTACAACTTTTCATTTTGAAAAAAATGAACAGGTCACATGAAGAATGGCTACTTATTCTTCAAATGTTTTGGAGAAGCCAGAGCTTGGGGAACCCAATGAAAGGGAGGGTGAGGGTAACCAAGGAAAATCGCTCTCAGGAGAAGCATGAAGGAGCAGCACATTGGGTCTCAAACCCTGTTAGACTGAATGCTTGGGCATTTTGTGCTGGTTTTTGTGATAGAATTAGCATTAGGACTCTTGAATGAATTCATGGGACAGGATTTATGCTCCTACTTCACACCAAACACTAGAAAGGTAAAAATAAAAAATGAATAAGGGGTGGCTTTTTCACCTAAGGAACATTTTGCTTGAGAAATCAAAGCTTTGAAAGCACAGAGACTTCTATTTAGGTATTTGTTTTAACTACTTTTTTTCCCGTGCTCTTCCTTACTCTTTTTCCTCTCTTCTGTCTTCCTCTCATCTTTTCTGCAAAGCTCTATGTGAGTCTTCTAAACACGAGACAGTCCGAGTCATTGTGATTTAACAGATACCGAAAGAGCAGCACCCTTACCTGACCCTCAATGCAGGACACTACGAATGGGCTATATGGAGCATTTGGGAAATCTCTTAGCAGAGGCTGATTCTAGAGGATTCACTCTGGGTCGTATCTGGGAAAACTGACTTTGCTTCAGGAGCCTCAAAACTTCATATTGGGACATGCAGGAGAGCAAATCAGAGCAAATATGTTGGAGACTTTCCTGCCTTATCCTGACCAGGAAAGAGCAAAAGGTCTGAGAGCCTGGCTAAGCACATGTGGGCTCCATGGATGCTACATTCTGTAGTGAGCTGTTCTTGACTCCCACATCCCTATTCCAGGTTCTACCCCCCACCCAACTGACTACTACTCAGTTTCCCCATTTCTTTTTTCTCTCTCTGCCTCTCAAGCACCCATCTCTTTCAGATGCTCTGTTCTCCACTCCCTTTTACAAATTCTTTCTCAAAGACCTCATCCATTCTCATGGCTTTGATTGTCACCCACAGTAAATGTTGTCTCTCAAATCGGAATCTCTCTCCTGGGTTCCAACCCTAATTGATTATTGGGTGTTGCAACTGAATTTCCTTCTCAAATAAGACACACAGTGTCAATCTCTTGACCTGTTTCCTCTCTGGTTTCTCCCATCTTAGTACATGTCACCAAGATGTACCCAGTCTCCCATGCTAGAAATCTGAGAACATCCTGGACTCTGCCCCTTTTATCACCCTCCTTAACAGTCACTAATACTATTGATCATGATTTCTAAAACTCAATAGAAATCAGTATCTTGGCTTTCTCACCTGTTTCTTCCATTCTTCAGGCCCATTCATTTCTGTCTGTAACCATAACTCCTAACCATCAAGTGGTCCTCACACCATGAGATTGTGAATGAATTCCTTCACCTGTCTGTGGTATTTCTTCATCTAAAACAGGAGGACATTGGACTACATCTCTGAGAACATTTCTAGCTCTGATATTCTTTAATTGGTTAGCTTGCATATATCACAGGCCGTAAAGCAAAAAACTGAGTTTTCTCTCCTTTCACTTATTCCTTGCTTCCCAATAACTTTTTAAATTCTTCTTTCTCCATTTTGCTTTTGATAGAAATGTGGTAGCCCAAGACCCAAGCAAGGATAGGATTTCCCAGACATTCCCAGGGGAGACAATCCCATGTGCTTTCCTTCTGATGTCACATCAGGTAAGGGGATTGCCTGGGGCTAGAGCTTAAACAGAGTGGGTGTTGTTCTCATTGTTGTCATCACTGTTACTGTTTCCAGGGTACTGCTCCATGGCTATGCAGAGGCAGACACTCAGGTGGAAAGGTATAAGACAATTTCCCCCTGTAAATTAATCAGAGGGTGCATATGAACATCTTGTTGTTGCCACTTCACCCCCACTACTGTCTCTTCAGCTAAGACACCAGTTTAATGAGGTGGTTCCTGAGGCTTGGAGTTTCCCTAAAGACTGCGCCTCCTTTGGTGTTGATTTAGAAGCTCCATTGAGGGTACCAAGGGGGAGTGATGAGATGGCACCCTTGCTGAGAGCTGGGGGTTAGATGGCACCCTTGCTGAGAGCTGGGGAACTCACCATAGTCTTTGAAATAACACTGCCCTCTGTAAGCATGAGGAGTCACCATTCTTTTTGACTTCCCACTGGCTGGGAGGTGATAGGGAAGAGCTAAGACTTCCATTCTCCAGTCCCCTGAAGTTGGTGTTTTGCCTCATATTGTGCAGGAAGTAGGCAGTTTGTCTTCCATGTCTCCTATCACTTTTCTGTATACTAAAAAGATCACTGAGAAATGGCTTGTTTTTTTTTTCTTTTGTACACATCATCTTCCTAGAATCTGAAGGCTGCTAGAGAAGGGAGAGGCACATGCAAGTGCATCCCATGCTGATTGTTGTTGAAATACCTGGAAAGAAACTGGCAAAGACTATCCAAGGTATGCTAAGACATGTCCAAACTTACAAAACAGTAGAACCTGAATAGGAATTTGAAGTTGTCTATACTCTCCTCAGCCACACCCTGCTATTTTACAGGTATGAAAAATACAATTTTCAGCAAATTAGTGATGGATACAAAGTATGTGGATGCCCAATCCTGTGTACTTTCCATTACCGTCTGCTTCCTAATTGTGTGTGGATTTCCTTGTTCTTCAGAGCCAAGGAGCATCAACATTTGGCTTCAGAGATGCTGCTAAATCCTGAATAAACAAGAGTGAACAAGCAAGGTAGCATTCAAGGTCTCTTATTCCTAAACCCAGTTGCAATGCTTGTATTAAACCCTGAGCTCCAGGCTGCTTCAGTGCTATTAAACTTCCTCTTTACAAAGAGAGGAGAATATGTGGGGTATCAGACATATCCCACTCTTCCAAGGCCCCGTGCAGACTCTTAAAAGATGAGAGGGTTTTTGTTTGTGCATATGGATCAAAGAAAGACTTCCTTGAATTTTGGTCAGCAGGGTTTGTTTTAGATCTGTGAAGAGTGGAAGAGGTCTCAACTGAGTGATTTCATGGAGGACTGGGAAGATCTCTTTCCTCACCCAGAATCACTGTTGAGGTGCATTCAACCATTAGAATTCCACTAAGGGTAAAATACTGGGAAATGGCATAGGTTAGGAGTCATTGTACCTAGCTTCCAAGCATGGTTCTGCCCCTGTAATTTATAACTTCATCTATATGTTCATTTAATTAGGAAAGAAAACAGTCATTGAATTAATATATGTCTTGTACTATTCTGTGTGCTGAGTGTTCAGTGTGAAATAATGCAATATTTTTATTGGTCTTATAATGTGGTGGGGAAAGCAATAATTCACACATACATATATAATATAATAATACCAATGTTATGAAGGAAGCAAAAATCAAATAAGGCAGTAGAAAGTACCAGACAAGGAGATGTGTTTGTGTAGGGGTGTGTTATAGTGCTTTAAAATAGGTCCACAAACTCTTTCACCCTCTCTTCAAAAGGTGCAGCCTAAGCTACCTCCCCTTGAGTGTGGGCTTGGCTTAGTGACTTTTTCTAGCAAATAGAATAAAGTAGAAGTGATGATGTATGGCTTTCAGGCTGGATAATAAAGCCACTGTGTCTTCTTCCTCTTGTTTTTGGATTGTCTCCTCTAGGGAAATTAGCTGTCATGTGAGGATACTCAAACAGTTTATAAAGAGGTTCATGCGGCAAGGAATGGAGGCCTCCTGCCAACAGCCATGTAAAGGAGTCATCTAGGAAACAGATTCTCCAGCCCCAGTCAGACCTTCAGATAATTACAGCCCCTACCAATATTCTGACTGCAGTGGAAGGAAAGACCCTGAACTAGAACCACCCAGGTAAGATAATCCTGGATTCCTGACCTAGAGAAACTCTGAGATAGTATTTGTTGTTTAAAGCCACATCTTTGTGGGACAATGTATTAAGCATAACTAATACATGTGATTAGGGAAGCTTTTAATAAGAGGTTAACAGATTAGCAGAGACCAGAATGAAAAAGGGGAATGAGCCAGGTAAATATATGTGTGAAGAATGCTTAAAGTAGAGGGGATAGAACTGGCATAGGTCCTGTGGTTAGAACAAGCTTCATATTTTTCAAGGAAAATTGCAGGACTTGGAAATGGGCAAGAGATACCCAAGTATCCATTCAGTGGAGGGCTGAGCATTGTCTAGGATATCCTCTGGGGATATCTGATTATATTGAGATGTTTCTCTTTAACTGAATTTCTATTTTCTAAGTTATTTTACTTGTGGAAAACTGACAGTAACGCAAATGATCCTCCTTAAAGAAATACAATGAATTTTGTCTAGTACAGATGTGACGGAATTCTACCCTGTAGAAAAGAGAGTCCCAAACAATACATTTTAAGCAGCTCTATGGAAATATAATTCGTATACCATACAATTCATCCATTTAAAGCTTAAAATTCAGTTTTGTTCAGTATGTGCACAGGGTTGTACAAACAGCACAACAATCTAATTTTAGACCGTTTTATTGTTCCTCCTCATTCCTTCAAAGAAACCCCATCCCCATTAGCAGCTCCTTCTCATTCTTTTTCATGTTTTTTCCCCCATCTTCCAAGCCCTAGGCAACCACTAATCTACCCTCTGTCTCTATAGATTTGCTTATTCTGAAAATTTTATGTAAATGTAAACCTACAGTATGCAGTCTTTCAAAACTGATTTCTGTCACTTAGCATAATGGTTTCAAGGTTCATCTATGCTGTAACATGTATCAATACTTCATTCTTTATTGCCAAATAATATTCAATTGTATAGATAACTATATTTTTGTGGTTTTTGTATAGGTAACTATTTTCTCCCATTAGGAGGTTTGCCTTTTTCACTTCTTGATGGTATTATTTGCAAAATAAGAGTTTTTAATTTTAAATCCAATTTATATTATTTCTTTTGTTGCCTGTGCTTTTGATGTTGTATCAAAGACACCATCACTTGACATAAAGCCACAAAGGTTTATTTTTTTGTTTTCTTCTAAGAGTTTTAGTGTTTTAGCTCTTACATTTAGGTTTATGATTCATTTTCAGTTTATGTCTGTATGTGTTATGTGGTAGAGATCCAAATTTATTCTTTCGTATGTGGATGTCCAGATGTCCCTCCACAATTTGTTAAATAGAGTATTCTTTCTTCATTAAATTGTGACTGTACTTTTGTTGAACATCAACTGATCATAAAAATATGGTTTATTTATGCACTCTCAATTTTGTTTCATTGATCTATACATCTAGCCTTGTGTCAGTACCACACTTTCTTGGTTACTATAGATTTGTAGTAAATTTTGAAACTGGGAAGTTTGAGTTATCTAACATTTTTCTTGTTTCTCAAGATTGTTTTAATTTTTGGGGTCCCTTGCATTTCTAAATTAATTTAAGGACCAATTAGTCATTTCTGCAACAAAAGCAGCTGGTAACTTGATTGGGATAGTTTTGTACTTGTGGGTTAAATTGGGAAGCATGGACATCTTAAAAAATATGAAGTCATCTGATCCATGAACATGGACTATTTTTCTATTCATTAGATCTTTAATTTCCTTCAATGATGTTGGTGTATGTCTTGCACTTATTTTATTAAATGTATTCCTAAGTATTTTGTTCTCTTTAATATTATTATAAACAAAATTGATTTCTTAATTTCATTTTTGAAATTTTACTGAAAATGCATAGAAACCCAGTTATTTTATTTTATTTTAGCATATTGATCTTGTATTCTGCAAACTTACTCAACTCATTTACCAGTTTTAATAGTTTTTCAGTGAAATTGTAAATAGTTTATATATACAAAATCTTGCCATCTGCAAATAGAGATAGTTTTACTTTTTCCTTTTCAACCTTTGACTTTCATTTTCACTTCTTTTTCTTCAATAATTGCCCTGGCTAGACCCTCCATTACAATGTTGAATAGAAATTGCAAGAATACACATTCTCATCTTAATCCTGATCTTACGGGGAGAGCATTCAGTTGTTTACTATTAAGTATGATATTAGCTGTGGGCTTTCCATAATGATCTTTATCAAGCTGAGAAGGTTCTTTTCTAGTTCTAGTTTGGTGAGCATTTTTATCTTAAAGGGCGTTGTTGGGCTTTTGTTAGTTTTTTTTTTCTATGTTCATTGAGAAAGAACATAAGAAAATGCTTTGCCCTTTCTTCTATTAGTATGGTATTTTACATTAAGTAATTTTTTGCTGTTAAACAAACCTTGCATTTCTAGGATAAGTCTCACTTAGCTTTAGTGTATATATGTATTTATATGTTGTTTTATTGAATTTTCTTGTGCTTTGTTGAGTACTTTTGGGTCTATATTCATAAGGGGTAATGATCTGACGTTTTGTTTTCTTGTGGTGTCTCTTTGTATGATGACCCAGTAAAATGCTGACTCCAGATAATGAAGTGAGAAGTGTTCCTTGCTCTTGTGTTTTTTGGAAGGGTTTCTGAAGTATTGGTATCAATTTTTCTTTGAATATTTGATGAATTTTAAATTTGCTAATGCAACTGCTTTACTTGTTAAAGATTTTATTCATTATTTGTATATTTCTTGAGTAATTTTCTGTAATGTGTGTCTTCTAAAAATTTATCTAACTCAGATACGTTATCTAATTCATTGGTATGTGGTTGTTCATAGCATTCCCTTATGAATTTTTTTATTTATGTAAGGTTGGTAATGATATCTCTTCTTCTATTCTGACTTTATAATTTGAGCCTTCTTTCCTTTTTTTTTTAAATTATTATTCTAACTAAAAGCCTTGTCAATCTTATTGCTCCAAACATTATACTTAGTTTTCCTATTGGATTTTAGCCAGTTTTGCATCTATTAGTAAATTCATGCCAACATTTCTGTTATCCTACATACTTTGTTCTTCAAATTCTTTTTTGTAACAATATTAACAGGTTACTAATTCCCTCATTAATTAATGAGGGGAATTTATACTTTTATGAAAGTGATGTTTTTAAACTTTTGAAAATTATACTTTAGCAGAAAATATGAAAAGAAGTAAAGAGCCAGAGAGTCATGGAAAATGAGATGAGAGGGAAAGACAGGGCAGACCACCAAAGACCTTGAAGGCCATGCTAAGGAGATTAGTTTTACTCTGAGTGGGGTGAGAAGCTTTTGTCATCCCCTTAGACAAGTCTTGCCCCTAACTGAGACCTCAGCTATCTGTAATATGTTTCTATGCCTCCTCACAGGGTGACTGTGAAAATAGAATGAGACAGAATGAAATCAAAAATTGCATTGTTATTGTTAGTGCTCAACTGGCTCACCTATGAGGTCAGTTTTCAGGTACTAACAACTTGGCCTAAATTTATTGTTTTCGAATTCCTACCTATTACCAGGATTTCTGAGGGAAAGCAGATACAGAGAATTCCAGAAGGCTAAGCCCTGGATTCTGAGAAAGGTAATTTGGTCCAGGAAAATGCTGGTGATTTGTGCATGGATATGGGATATAGTATGATCATTAGATCCCTGAAAGAAAAGGAGACAGGGCTGGAGAGGTCTGAAAGCTCAAAAGGCAAATTTGACCTGTGTCTTCAGAACTCCACATGGAACTAACTCTAGGGGGCTAGAAGGCTAAGGTGATAGAAGGGTAGGGTTGAGGAGCGGACAGACAGATCAAGAGCAATGCTGAACTGCATTTCATGAAGCTGATGGAAGGCCTGAGAACTCAAAGGTTTGAGCTTGAAGAAGAAAGCAAACTACTAGACATGAGCATTTGCAAAGCAGGTTTAAAGCATCAGTGTACTATGATGTTTGAAACTGAGTGACAAAGGCCAAAAGGAAGGATAACACAGTAAACCAGAGAAAAAAATCCCTTGCACAAATTAACAAGCATTTCTCCTTAGCCTACATCTCAGGGTATTCACAGATGGGAAAATGAATCAAATCAGTATCTCTCTCATTTTATTTTCGTTATTTTTATTTTATTTTGCCCCTGGCTTGACCTAGATCTTAAATTATTCGTGGAGATTTAAAAATATATTCCAGCACTCAAAATCCTCCCTGGCAAACCTCTGCCAGTTGTATAACGTAAATTTTTGTTGTTTATACTAGCTCCATTTTTCATGTCTGTGTTTTTCAATAGTCCCTCAGCTTGCCTTTCCCAGAGTTCAGCTAAAGTCCTGGGAAGCAATGGTAACCCCGAGACAACCTCTCAGGCAAGTCTAATGGGCTGAAATAGGTGGCCTCCAAAGAAGGAGAATATACCCAGGGAATGGTCTCAGCACACAGCCCTGGTTATTTGAGATAAAGGAAATCTAAATTACTCTGCTCTCAAGTCTTTTAAAGGGGCTTGGTTTATCAGCCATGACCTAGTACATACGGCTATAAAGTATGTTCTTCAAAGATTTTCTTGTCTTCCTCGTTCTCTCCTTTCTATTAAGAGTAGAGGTCCTCAGGAAAAGAATCGTATAAACATAAGGGCAGAATTAAGATAAATGCATTTCTTTTCCTTAGGAAATTTTCCATGACGAATGAACAGCACTCTACCCCTTAGGCAGCCAGGTCAAGTGTTGGCTCTTTAAAGAAGATTCACCTTTCTAAAGCTGAGGCTGGGGGTTGGGTCTGGGGACGTGATAAGAGATGAGGGCTTGCCAGAGAAAATAGTTCTCTAGAAAAGGAAAACTGATGGTCAGTGCTGATCTCTCTCAAAAGGTTTGCTGCCCCTCCGTGGTTTCAGAGCTCATGGTAGATTCTATATTATTGCTTTGGGTCCTCTCCCCCAGTGCCCCTCTGGAGCTGATCGACCATTCACAGCTGTAGCTGTGAGTGCTGAGAACACTTATTTATTTATTTATTTATTATTTATCTTTAGTTTTATTTTAGTTTTAGAGATGGGCTAGAGTACAGTGATAATCATAGCTCCACTGGGCTGGACACTCCACTGGGCTGGAGTACAGTGATAATCATAGCTCACTGCAGCCTCAAACTCCTGGGCTCAAGCCGTCCTCCTGCCTTAGCCTCCTAAGTAGGTGGAACTCCAGGTGCACCCCATCACACCTGACTATTGTTTATTGATTTATCGATTTTCGATTTTGGGTCTTTCTTTGTTGCCCAGGCTCTTCCTGAACTCTTGACCTCAAGAGACCCTCCTGCCTCAGCCTCTGAGTCACTGGGATTGCAGGCATGAGCAACCAAGTCTGGCAAAAACGCTTTCAATAGGGGGTACCCTGCTCATCCCCGATGGACACAAAGCTTGTTTTCCTACATTTGCACTAAAGAGTGAGCACACTTGTAGGTTATGTAATTGGAAAGGCTTCATGGAAGAAAAGTATCAGAATATCTGGGTCCCAAACTTGGCTCTGTCACTGAATGAAGCTTGGAGAGTGTAAATGGTATGTTCAAGCTCACCTAGCTAATGCTACAACTTGTGAAGCTGGCAAGAATTGAACCATATTGCCTAATATCCTTCCAAGTTCTAACATTGTGTCTGAATGTTACAGAGATCCCTGAATATCTTTAGATGTATGTTTGCTTTCTTTTTCTATGTCTCCTTCTTGTACTCCCTCTGTATTTTTGAATGTATGTTTGTTTGTTTGTTTTTTGAGGGCTTGGTCTAGCAAAGTTAGAAAGCCCTAATTAGCAGATAAAGAAAACGTTACCTTAGGAGTCCTACTTAATTTTACTTATGGAATGCTACCAGTTTTGAAATCAAGTAGGGATGGGATGTTTGACGTCTAGGAATGTCAGGCCCAAAGGACATTCTGGAGTGAAATCTTATGCAACAGTAAAACATCATGGACTGGAGA